CAATCTGTGCTGCCAGCCAACTTGTTATTTATTTATTTATTTATTTTTGTTGGTCATGGGGCTTGAACTCTAGCCCTGGGTGCTGTCCCTGAGTTCTTCAGCTCAAGGCTAGCACTCTACTACTTGAGCCACAGCGCCATTTCCAGTTTTCTGGTGGTTTATTGGAAATAAGAGTCTCAAGGACTTTCCTGCCGGGCTGGCTTTGAACCTCAATCCTCAGATTTCAACCTCCTAAGTAGCTAGGATTACAGGCATGAGCCACCGGCACATGGACCAACTTGTTTTTAAAAGCATTTCTTGTTCAAAATTCAACGAAACCACATCTATATTATTTTGAACTATGTTTATGATGTTTTCCATTATATTATATTATTTTACTAAGTACAGTCCAGTATACTGATCTTCTTTAGTAGCTCATTGAGTTTTTAAAAGCATATTGTTGTGCAAAACTAATGCTATCAACATAAAAATATTTACAAAAGATGTCTCCTTTTTTAAAAAAAATTCCTCCCTCCTATATTTGGTTGTAACTAATCAATATGCAATAAGCAATGAAAACATAAGGAAATTTTGTTATTTTGTCTATTTTAGGGAAGGCAAAAATTTCTTGCTTTGTTTGCCACTTTGATTTTCTGCATAAAATCTCTGGAAAGTTCTTTACAATGTGGATAATGACAACTAGTTTTGAACTTAAAGCATTCTATTTGAATACCTCAAAGACACAAAACTGGTATGTACTATCAAACCTTGCTGTGGCTGCAGTACACTTACCCCCCAAAGCTTAGTTTTAAACCTCTCCCCACTGAGGGCAACTAAAACACCCTGGGTGAGGTATTAATTCTGTGTTTGAGGCAGAGAAAATGTAAGTCAAGCCTGTAACATCTTTCTATGTACTAAAGCAAAGAAGAGAAAATTAGTGAGCACACATTCACAAAGGTCTCTTTTTTCTTTCCATTGGTTGTAGGGCTTGAACTCCATGCCTGGGCATTGTCCCTGAGCTCTTTTTTGGGGGGAGGGGGGAGGAGGGGCGGTTGTGGGGCCTGAACTCTGGGCCTGGGCGCTGTCCCTCAGCTCTTCAGCTCAAGGCTAGCACTCTACCACTTGAGCCACAGCGCCACTTCCGGCTTTTTTCTTTTTGCTTATGTGGTGCTGAGGAATTGAACCCAGGGCCTAATGCATGCAAGGCAAGTGCTCTACCACTGAGCCACCTTCCCAGCCCTGTCCCTGAGCTCTTTTACTCAAGGCTAGTGCTCTACTACTGCATCATAACACCACTTCTGGCTTTTTTAAGTAGTTTATTGGAGATAAGAGTCTCATGGACTTTCCTGACCAGGCTGCTTTGAATTGTAATCCTCAGATTACTGAGAAGCTAGGATTACAGGTGTGAGACATTGGTGCCTGGCAAAAGCTCTCTTCTAAAAAAGAGAGAGAATGGAATTTTTCTCTATTTTTGAAAATCTGATTACTCATTTTATTATAAGTGAGAAGGGAGTATAGAGAACATTATATTTCAATTTTATTACTAAGCAAATGCTCTACCACTGAGCTAGACCTTCCAACCCACAGTCTATCTCTGAAGCCTGGCTTGATACGCTGGACTCTCCTGAGTTGTTCATGTTCAGTCTGCTGTAGTATCACCTGTCAGGTAACTGATAATAAAATCCATTGTGTACTGTAGGAGGGAACTGAAATGGGAAAAATAAAGTCTGGGAAGTCAGTTATAGGCAGAGAAGTGGGGCCAATTATTTGCTAAAAATCAAGCTGTAATATTGACCATGATTACCGATGGGAAATATCCCTCTAAAGAAAAGCATCTTCAAAGAGTAAAAACAATAAAAATAATAAAAAGTTAAAGTAGGAAGGGGGAGAAGAAAATGCTTTTTGTTAAAGCAGAAAGTCAGCGAGTAGAAGATAAAACAGAAAATCACCTTCACATTCTCTCATATAGTAACTGGCTCAGGCAAGGGTCCTCAACACGTCCCAGAACTATTAGATAAAAGGTTGGTAAGGGACATATACTCTATTGGTACCAAGCCATACCTCCATACATTATTTACTAAGTTTTGAAGGAGGTGGGGAGATACTGTAAAACAGAAACATCTAGAGATTACCATCTTAAGCAATGGATCAAAGTCCACCTCACTGGGACCTTCTGACACCAGGGAACTCATTGATTGGATGTCATGGGACTTACGGGATGTGCTTGCGATATTATTTACATTAACAGACAAATTAAATGTGAAAATACAGTACTTAGTATCACAGTTAAGAGCTTCAGAGCCATGTATGGCTAGTAGCTACTACATTAGATATCAGCATAGACACAACATTTTCATCACTATAGAATGTTCTATTGAACAGTGCTAGTTTCAACTGCAATCCTAATTTACACAAAACAGAGGAGAATACTGTAACAGGAAATAGTATGCTAGTAAATGGTCAAATTCAGGATGTCAACTGGCCTGTCTTCTTCTAAATACACAATGTCAAGGCTGGAGATGTACACATGCTCAGTGGAAGAGTGTTTGTCTAAGCATGCAGAAGGCCCCAAGTCCAATTCCCAGGACCACAAAAACAAAAACAACAACAATAAACCCATATATTAGTCTTAGAAAACCAAATGGTTAGAGGCCTAAAAAGTTAAAGTAACCAATAACACAAAATAAGTAATATGTGAACCCTTGTGGGCTCATGGTTCAGAAATACAAGATACTTTTAAGAGAACTGGGCAAATTTGAATATGGGCTTGATACTAAATGATACTATGGATTTGTTAATTTTCTTAGGTGTGATAATGGCATTACTCTTGTTCAAATGCTCCCAAGTATAATATATACCAGACTCACTGACTCAGGAAAACAAAAATAACACATGCACAAAGCAAACACACCAAAATATTTGTAACTATCGCATCTAAATAGAAGATACATGCATTTGCTATAATAATTCTTTTAACTTTTCTCTGTATTTGAAATTGTTCAATAAAATTAGGCTAGGGAAAAACTGCTAGAGCGAAAAGGGAAGGCAAGAGAGAGAGGCAAAAAGAAAATACTGAAGCCATCTGCTACTATAACCAGTGTAGTGTTGAGTAAACTGGGGTAACAATATCTGAGTGTGCAAATGGTAAGAAAGCAGGACTAGCTCCTGGCCCACCAGGCTTTGCAGAATTTGTGGAACAGCATGTAGCCAGGCACTGAAATGGATTAAGATGCCAGTATCAGAGAAGGTTCAAAAAGCAATACACTCGGCATCACAGAGCCCAGGCTAACTTCCAGAGCCATCCCTAGCCTTTAGTCCCTCTGCCAATGTACTCCTTGACCAGAAAAGAGGAGCCCAATCCTCAATAAAAGGGTTCTTCAAAGAGAGAATAAAAGGATTCTTTAAAGAGAGAACAGTTGCAAGAGACAATCTTAATTTGCTCAAATTTAGTCATTTTGCCAATGAATATCATGAATCCAACCCTGTACTTGTTCCTTGTATTATAAATATCCCATTTACTCTCCAACTATAGTAGGAATATTTTAAAAGTCCTTGGAACAAAATTGGCCACATAGCACCTACAGAGAAAGCAAATATTTAATCATATATACAAACAACTGACCATTAGTGACTAGCACTGATCTGAAAAAAAGATTTTTAAAAAGCACACTACAAAAGCCAGGTAATGGTGGCTCATGGCTATAGTTCTAGCTACAGTAAAGGCTGAGATCATAGTCTAAGGCCAACCCAGGTAGCAAAGTTCACTAAATTCCATTTCTAAAACAAACAGAAAAAAAGACTGGAAGTGTGGGTCAGGTAGTAGAGTGTCAGTCCAAAAAGTACAGAGCATTGGATGCAAACACCAGTACCCTTTGCAGTTCCACCACCACAACCACAATAAATAAATAAATAAAAACCAACCAAAAAAACCCCAACCAACCTCTATAACCCAGCAATCTCACTCCTGGGCATTTACCTAAATGATCACAAACAAGGCTACACTAAAGAAAGCTACCAGACAACTATGTTCACTGCAGCATTATTTACCATAGCTAAGATATGGAATCAGCTCAGATGCCACTCAATAGATGAATGGATCAAGAAAATGTGGTACATATACACAATGGAAATCCATGCTTCCATTGGAAAGACTGATATTGCCCTATTCATAAGGAAATGGAAAGACCTGGAAAAAATTATACTATACGTAGTAAGCCAGACCCAAAGAAACATAAGCTCCATGGTTTCCTCATTTGTAATGATTAGTATATGCCTATGGTTCACAATAGCCCAATAGCCATGTACATACAACCATATAAAATGATGCTAATCGAAATGATCTCTACAATATGGAACAAGAGGTTTTATGGCTGCTGTTTTTCTTTTTACTGTGCGGTTTGCAGTTATTTCTTTTGTCTTTTGTTTTTTCCTACTTCCCTATGGTCACTGTTTCTGATTTAGATACCCTTTGCTTTGTATATAAGTTTATCTGATTTGGAGAGGGAAAGAGGAATCACAGAAATGGTAGACCAAAGGGGAACCAAGGCAACAGGGATACTCATTATACACTATGTTGGAAATGAACTTTACAACTTGGGGGACAGGGCAAAGTGGGGAGGGGGGAGGGAGAAAGGAGGGAAAGCAGGAGAAAAGAAGAAGTACACTCATTACCTTGTTATGTAACTATAACCCCTCTGTATATCACCTTTACAATAAAATAAAATTTAAAAACAGACCTAAAAAATAAACCAACCAAATAATAACAAAAAACACTAAAAGGGGCTGGGAAGGTGGCTCAGTGGTAAAGCGCTTGCTTTGCATGAATGAGGCCCTAGGTGCGATTCCTCAGCACCACATAAGCAAAAAGAAAAAAGCTGGAAGTGGTTCTGTGGCTCAAGTGGTAGAGCACTAGCCTTGAGCTGAAGAGCTGAGGGACAGCACCAGGCCCAGAGTTCAGGCCCCATGACCAGACCCCCCCCCACAAAAAAAAAAAAAAAAAACACTACAAAACAAGATATCACCTTAAGTTTTTGAAGCTTCTCAGTATTTGTAGCAAAGCGTCCAACATGAGCTTGGAAACGTTCAAATTGCTTTAAATATTCTTGGTTTCGAATATGAGCCTTCTTTTCAGATTCACATATTTCCTTGAGGTATTTCTTTAGTTTTACATACTTCATATTAACCCTATGGGAAAAAATAGTAAGTAAACTTCTAACAATGGAGTTAAGACTTTGATAAACCCAAATAGAATTTTAACAAAATTGTTCATGTGCCAATGAAATCTAAAATATTTTACCCAAAGCACTGAAGCCTGAGAGATAGAATGTATATACATTTTTAGAAAAAAGACATTAATATGGTGCTGATAGGCACCATTCTGGTTACCTTTATGGCATAATTGTCATGAGAAATGTATACATTATCACATGGTAACATTCACATGGTTACATTTTATATGAATTTATTTCTTAAAGATAAATGTGATTTCAAGAATAATGTCTATGTGGCCATGTTCAGATGCATAGCCTTATGAGTACTTTTTAAAGTATTTTGCTTATACAGATACAGAATCAATGACAATCCATAAAACTAAGAAGGTTTTTTTGATTGGTTGTGGGGCTTGAACTCTGGGCCTGGGTGCTTTCCCTGAGGTCTTCAGCTCAAGGCGAGCACTCTACCACTTGAGCTGCAGTGCCACTTCCGGTCTTCTGGTGGTTAATTGGAGATAAGAGTCTCATGGAGCTTCCTGCCCAGGCTGGCTTTGAACTGCGATCCTCAGATCTCAGCCTCCTGAGAGCTACGATTATAGGCGTGAGCCATTAGCATCCAGCATAAAACTAAGAAGTTTCAAAATATAAAATACAAAGAGTTCTCATTTAGGAACAGTAAAAGGTATTTGTCTAACATTACAACAAGTTATTAAAAATGCCTTATAAAAGATGGACTATAACATTACTTGAACTGAAAGGAGACATCTAGAGACTCGTATCCAAAGTGTAATGTTTAAGTCATACTACATAGCTATTCACAGGGTACTAATATTGCTAATTCTAACTTTCTTCTTTGCAAGCATTTACACTATAGAAGAGTATTTGTTATTTGCCATGTATATTATTGGTCCAATAGATTATTTAACATTCTTTCATCAACATAAATAAGTATAAAGAACCACCAATATATTCACAGATATATAAATATCAAAACACAAATCAGCAAAGATTATAAACAATAGACCTAATTTAGCTTCTAATTCTAAGCCCATAATTTTCAAAAAATTCTTTTTTTTTGTTGGTCTTGGGACTTGAGCTATGGGCCTGGGTGCTGTCCCTCAGCTCTTCAGCTCAAGGAGAGCACTCTACCCCTGAGCCACAGCACCACTTCCTCAAAGGATTCTTTATTGTAGTAATAATGCTGTGTTATGATTATGGTTAGATGTCGTCCTTTTACTTTCAGAACGAACAAACAAAAACCCCTCAGACTACTTGTTGGCTGTACTGAAGTTTGAACTCAGAACCTTGCACTTATTTTACTTGTTTGCTTGGCTGGAGCTCTATCCCTTGAACCAGGCCTCCATCCCAGCTTTTTGCTGATTATTTTGATAAAATCTCCCAAGACTAAGGTCCAGACAGGAGACTTTCATTCCTTAATTAACTATGAAAAGCTAGAAAGGGAAGTGTAGCTCAAGTCGTAGAGCACCAGCCATGAATAGAAAAAACTGAATGAAAGAACTAAGGCCCAGAGTTCAAGTCTCAGTACTAGCACAAAGGGGGGAAAAAAAAAAAAAAAAATATATATATATATGTATATATAGCTACACACATACATACATACTTATACATGTATATGTTCATATATACTATATATAGATATACGGCTATATAGACATATATATATATATATATTACATACTAGAAATAAGAGAATTGCTGGAGAAATAGTTCAAAGCACTCTAGTGCTTGCCTAAGAAGTATAATGCTCTGTACTATCAATCAATCAATCAACATTTAAAAAATAAAAATAGGGGTTGGGGGTTTAGTCCAGAGGAAGGGTGCCCGCCTGGTGCGCGCAAGGCCCTGGGTTTGGTCCTCAGCCCTGGAAAAAAAATTAAAAAAATAAAAATAAGGCTGGGTGCTAGTGGCTCATGCCTATAATCCTAGTTACTCAGGAGGCTGAAATCTGAGGATCAAGGTTCAACAGCCTAGGCAGGAAAGTCCATGAAACTCTATCTCCAGTTAATCACCAGAAAACTAGAAGTAGAGCTGTTGTTCAAAGTGGCAGAACACTATCCTGAACAAAAGCTCAGGGACAGCTCCCAGGCCCTAAGTTCAAATCCCAGGACTGGCACCAAAACTTTTAAAAAGTAAAAAAATATTGCCGGGTGCTGGTGGCTCATGCCTGCAATCCTAGCTACTCAGGAGGCTGAGATCTGAGGATCGCGGTTCAAAGCCAGCCCGGGCAGGAGAGACCGTGAGACTCCTATCTCCAATAAACCACCAGAAAACCGGAAGTGGCGCTGTAGCTCAAGTGGTAGAGCGCTGGCCTTGAGCTGAAGAGCTGAGGGACAGTGCCCAGGCCCAGAGTTCAAGCCCCAAGACCGACAAAATAAAAAATAAAAATAAATAAATAAAAATAAAAATAAAAAGTAAAAAAATATTGCAACTATAGAATTTATGACATGAAGGATTGAATTTTGATTAACATATGCAAACTGACCTGAAATTGTCCCACTGTCATCCCTTACCTGCATAAATCAGACTGATTATATTCATTAAGTTTCTTTTGCAGTTCTAATCTCTTCTGTTCACTATAATACAAAAAGAAAACATTTTATAAATCATTACATTGGTAAGTAATAATCTGATGAATTTAGACCATGATTTACTTCCAAAAAATCACACCTTTCTCTAGTCTTTCTGAGAAGCAGAAAATGCTATATGTGATCAAAAGATATAAAAACAGTTTTCAATCACCAGGAATGTCTACAAAACAAAAACAAAAGATTCTTCAAGTCAGCCAGCCATAGTGGTACATTTCTGTAATCCCAGCCCTTGGGCAGCTGAGGTAAGAGGATCAAATGTTTAAGGACACCCTGAGATATATAGTAAGACTCTACTCAAAAAAAACCAAAAGCAACAAACAAATGAACAAATAAACTGGAAAAATGCAGTAGAAAAGGCCTGAAAACAGGACCTGATGATGAGCCAGGTGTTGTTTTAAGACTGGAGACTAACAGAGAGAGCAAGCAAAAGACCCATCCTTAGGCAGATGACATTCTAAAGGAAAGACTGACAATAAACAATAAATCTGCAAAATAAAATATAGTCAGTTTTTTTTCTGAGTCAGTGGTATTTGAGTACTGAAACTAAACACGTTGGACTGGTGGCTTTCTTTGCAACCAGTCAGCTTGCACATTGCTGAATGACTGTTAGAAAGAGGCATCTGAAAATCAAATCTGGCTTCTTTTAAATCTGATGAAGATTATGTCTCCTAAAAGTCACTTAGAAGTTGGGGGAATTTGTTTATAACTTTGTAACACCACAAGTACTTGTCAGCTACTACCACAAAAGACTTAACCTGTGACCTGTGATGTTTGGGTGTTAGCAGTAAGGCAGAGGAGAAATCCTGAGCAAGAGTTAAAAAATAATGAACAACCAAGGCAGAAAACCGTAATAAAACTGAATAGAGAGCCATTCATTCCTAAGATGAGTCCTTTCCATATTCAACCACAGAAGGTCCCATTCAACCACCACCAAAGTTTCAACTCCAACCTCGCCTGAGATCAAACTGCTAAGCTAAATAAACATTAACTAAAGGACACAAGAGAAATCACATAATATCTGAGAGAATACCTGACTGCCAAACAAAGATAAAGACCACTGTGGACATCTCAGGGTGACTTCCCAAAGGAAAAGAATAACTCCAGGTTATTTTTGTTAGCACTTCTGTTTCTATTTACATTCAGACATCCTCCCCTTTTCTGAAGTTATCCTCAAATTTAGTCTAGCTACTCCACAGAGTAACTAAATTTATTAGCTTACTCAATTAAAACCTCCATTTCATCCAGATTATTTTAACTGGGAAATGGGGTACAAAATCCAAACACAGAATCACTGAGAAATACAACTGAGTCTCTAATTGGGGTATGCCTATATTAACCAAGAATTGGCAGTCATAGGGTTTGAACTCAGAGCCTGAGTGCTGTCCCTAAATTGTTTTGCTAAGGCTAGTGCTCTATCACTTGAGCCACAGATCTACTTTCAGTTTTTTTGGTGGTTAAATTGGAGATAAAAGTCTCATGGACTTGTCTGCCTGGGCTAACTTCAAACTGTGACCCTAAGATCTCAGCCTCTTAAGTAGCAAGGATTAAAGGCATGAACCATTGGCATCCAGCTGAAAACATGTATTTTTAACCAATTACTTCACAGATGATTATGTTCGCATTAATAAGACTGACTCAGCCAGGTGCCAGTGGCCTCATGCCTGTAATCTTAGCTACTCAGGAGGCTGAGATCTGAGGATCACTAGAAAAACGGAAGTGGCGCTGTGGCTCAAGCAGTAGAGTGCTTGGCTTGAGCTGAAGAACGCAGGGATAGAGACCAAGCTCAAAGTTCAAGCCCCATAACCAACAACAACAAAAAAGACTGACTCAGAGAGCAGAAATGAAAGAAACAAGGTGTAATTGCTTCTGTTGAAATCTTTAGTATAAAACCTTTGGGGTGGGGGGTATGCTTGTTCACTAATACCAGGGCTTTAATTCAGGACCCAGGGCTTTTGTTCAGCTCTCTTGGGCACAGAGAGTGCTCTACCACTTGAGCCAAACCTCCAATATGATGTTTTGGTGGTTAAATGGAGATGAAGTCTCTTGGAACCATGATCTTCCAGGTCTCAGCCTCCTGAGTAGCTGGGATTACAGGTGTGAATCACTGGCACCTAGCTACCTTTGAGGTTTTATAATTAACTATGTGTTTAGATCATAAATAATGAATAGTGTAGGCAACTTATCCTAAAAATTAAAGAACAAAAATACCTTTAAATACACACCTATAACCCTGTACTGTAGTAATCCAACAAAAATGAGTAACTAGATTTGGTAATGAAGAACCAGCAGATGGACCCAGAGTGAAGGCTACCCTTTAGAGTAAATGTTACACTTTAAGAAGTTGTCCAGAAAGTGAAATATGGACGCTTCAAGAATTGTTCTAGGGCTGGGAAGGTGGCTCAGTGGTAGAGCACTTGCCTTGAATGCATGAGGCCCTGGGTTCGATTTCTCAGCACCACATAAGCAAAAAGAAAAAAGCTGGAAGTGGCGCTGTGGCTCAAGTGGTAGAGTGCTAGCCTTGAGCTGAAGAGCTGAGGGACAGCACCCAAAACAAAACAAAACAAAACAAAAAAGAATTGTTCTAGACTGGGGGAAAAAGGAAGCCGTAATTACAAACCAAAAGCAAACCAGGTACCTAAAGGAGATAAAAATAAAAAATTAACATGGTTAGGAAAGTTTGTGAAATTTGATGGAGGTGGTACTCTGTGAATTGGCATATCAAGATTGAATACTCATTAGGAAGGTTGTACAGTGATTAAATACAAAAGTTTTCTTTATTCTTAGAAATATGCACTGGGGATTTTAGGAGTGATGAACTATCATATCTGCAGTTCTCAAATGGCTCAGATTAAAACTAATTATTTTAGGTAAGTAGACAGAGAAAATAAAAATGTAGTAAAATGTTAGTAGTTAAGGTTAAAATGTTAGTAGTTAAGCTATGTGAGATGAGTATTAGAGGTCTTTGTTCCACATCTGCAACTTTTAAGTAAGCTTGAATTTATTTTAGAGTTATTTTCAAAATTAATCTATAATACAGTGAAAAAAAACCCACCCTGGGCTCTTTGGAAAGCCATCATTTCCCAAATAAGTTCTAAGAATGAATGCAAAAGGACTTTGTTCACTTTGTTCTCTCTTTCGTGGATGCAGACACCTGCTGGTCATACTTCCTCTATCAGAACACTTACATAAATAAATTTTTAAAAAAACAACCCTACAACCTATTGGCTCTATATTTCACACAAAATGTGCTAATCTTGTAAACTCTTCATTTCTAGCCCCTTTTCTAACCCCTTTATCCATGCTGCAATACCTCTGAATGCTAGGTTCTTCATACCTGTTTTAGATGAAAGGCTTCGAAAATAGACATTTACTTCAATAAAAAAAAGTGGAGGGGGGCTGGGAAGGTAGCTCAGGGGTAGAGTGCATGCCTTGCAAGCATGAGGCCCTGGGTTTGATTCCTCAGCACCACATAAACAGAAAAAGCCGGAAGTGGTGCTGTGGCTCCAGTGGTAGATCAGCACCACATAAACAGAAAAAGCCGGAAGTGGTGCTGTGGCTCCAGTGGTAGAGCGCTAGCCTTGAGCTGAAGAGCAGAGGGACAGCGCCCAGGCCCAGAGTTCAGGCCTCATGGCCGGCAAAAAAAAAAAAAAAAAGTGGTGGAAGGCTTATTAGGCAGGATTACCTTCTAATTCCTACGTGTTAAATCTCCATTTCAGAATCTTAAAAAAAAACCTCCGTTCTAAGAGCCTTTTATAGTCTATGTTTCAGTCAGCTGCACCTTCATATGGATTCTTCAAAGTTTTGCAGGGCTGAGTGGTTCTTATACACTGAGTTTCCTACTTTTAAACCACTTATTATTCCATCTTTGCCTCAATACACAATTTTCCGTCTTCCTCAGCTTTACTCAATGTCAATTTCTGGAGTTTGGTATGGTTTATGACCCTAAATCAATGTTGGCACTGAAGAAACTGGGAGTGGTTAATGGAACTTTTAAAGCATGTTTTCATATAAAAAAATTCTAAGAGTCACTTACATGCTTCTACCATACTTGTGGGCACTCCACACACTGTAACAAGTTACTTCCTCAGTCTCTTTCAGATTCAATTAGTGATTTTCACCATAAGGCAGAGAAAAACACTGAAAACACATTTTTAAAAAAATCTGGACTAACATATCTATGTGTAATACACAGCTAAGATGACTTGAGTTCAAAACTATCACAGTCACAAGGGAAAGACCCAGTTAGTAGATCAGCTAACATTTCAATGACTACCTAAAAAAAACGGATGAGAAAGAATAGTTTTTGTTGTTACTGTTATTGTTACTCTTTTAATTTATCATTCCCTAAAAGTTTCTAGGCTAGTAAGGCATCAAGACTACCCAGATTTCAAACTTTGAAATGACTATGGAATTTTAGGGGACATCGGTCCCTGTGTTCACTGGGATTTTTTTTTTTTTTAACAAAACAAAACAAATACATCCAGACACTCAAATAGGACAAAATGATAATCATTATGCTTCCCACAATTACCAATTTCAATTAAAAAAATTTTTTAATCTAATGAAGATAAAAAACAGTGTAGGGTTACTCTGTGGGGTCTTCTTTCTCATTTCTGGGAAAGAACAAACATTCAATAAAGGCCTAACGACCTCATCAAGGTTCCACAGTCAATCACGGATTGGTTCATGTTCTTACTACAGCTGTGTCTATACTTAAAGTTATTTACCTCTATCTTATATGTAATGTGCATTAGTTATGAATTCTTAAAATAAAAAATGAATTGACACAGCAACAGATTTGTACTGACTTAATTTTTTTAAACAGCTCCAAATGCATAACCATGAATAGCCCATAAAATCTGACTCAAATTTCTTAAGTAATTTTAATAGCCTCGCCTTGCTTAATAATTTAAAGCAGTAAGTGTGAAACATGAAGTAGGTAATCATTACAGTTATTGAACCATAAGGACTATAAACAACCAGGTGTTTCTAGCGTAGGAGACAAAAATAACTCACAACTAACTCAAAAAGAATGCCATTTAAGCCAGTACATTTTAAGATTAGATTTTCAAATAAGAGATACAAATAACTAAAAATGGAGAAAACCTCAGCCACTCTTTAAGTAGAACAGACACTAAGCCAAGAGCATGTGTAATTATACTGAAACAAATACTCTTTTGTTGATGTTGCATCATTTGTTCCCAATACATTTTTAAAAAATTATTTCTGCTGAGATGATCTTACTATGTAGCTCAGGCTAGTTTGAATTCATGATCCTTCCAGCATCCCAGGCACTGACATTACATGTGTTCAGTGCCACACCTGGCTCAGAAATCTTGCTTTTTAATTATCAAGTGTATGGGCACAATATCTTCCTGGATATCATGGGATTCACTTTCCTAAGTTCACTATAAAGTGATCATTATTTAGTGACATTACATGAATGTGTAAACCATTCCTGCCAGGTGCTGGTAGCTCATAGCTGTAATCCTAACTTCTTTGGAGGTTAAGATCTGAGGATCACAGTTCAAAGCCAGCCTGGGCAGGAAAGTCCATGAGACTCTTACCTGCAATGAACTTCCCAAAAGCTAGAAGTGGTAGAACATGAGCCCTGAGCGAAAGAGCTAAGGGATAAGGCCAAGATTTTGAGTTCAGGCCCCAGGACTGGCAGAAAAATAAATAAATAAAATTCTTAGATACTAGCTAGTTGACTTTGGGATTTCTTCCACAAATTCAGCGAAGATTTATAAAGCACCTCCTCCACCAGAAGTGAGATAGATATGATTCCTTCTAGAAATCTCAGTCTAGGCAAAGAATAAGATACTTAAGCCCTCATGAAAATGTTGTAAGAATGGGGAGGGCACAAAAGTTAGGTAATGGGAACTAGATTCTGGTGGCTCATGTCTATAATCCTAGATATTCAAGAAGCTGAATCTAAGGATCAAGGTTCAAAGCCAGCCTTGACAAACAAATCCACAAAGTCTTGTCTCCAATTAAACATAAAAAAGCCAGCTTTTGGGTCAAGGGATGAGCACCATCCTTGAGCAAAAAAGCTAAGAAATGGTGCCCAGGCCCTGAGTTCAAGTCCCAACACTGGGGTAACAATATTTGACAAGAAATGTACTCATTACCTTACTCATGTAACTGTAACCTCTGTGTACAGAATCTTTACAATAAAATAAAATTATATATATAAAAGAAAAGTTTAAAAGTGGTGAAGTGGGGGGAGTGGGGTAGAACAGGGAAGGCTCTGCAGAGATTTTAAGGTGGCCATCAAAACAAGTAAAAGATAGTGTATCAGAAAGAAAATAGGATGTAGAAAAGAACATAAAAGGGGCTGGGAAGGTGGCTCAGTGGTAGAGTGCTTGCCTTGCATGCATGAGACCCTGAGTTCGATTCCTCAGCACCACATAAGCAGAAAAAAAAAGCCGGAAGTGGTGCTGTGGCTCAAGTGGTAGAGCGCTAGCCTTGAGCTGAAGAGCTGAGGGATATAGTGCCCCGGCCCAGAGTTTAGACCCCATGACCAGAACCCCCCCCCCCAAAAAAAAAGAACATAAAATATTGATGCTTTGTAATTTTTCTTGCACAAGATTAGTGTAATCCCTTTTAAAAATCATTTCTCCCTTTACAAATAATTACTATACTGTTATCATTTTAGAATAGTCACTAGAATGATTCTGTTACTTTTAACATTCATTAAATGTTTCGTTTATCAAGAGATCCAAAAATCTCTTTCCTTTCTTGTCAACTAATGAGATTGCTAACTCCAGTTAATTTAGCAACTAAATAAGAGTTCCAACAACTTAGCTTTTACCTGCGTTATTTATAGAATTGCTTTATAATTTTCTTTATTTGTGCACTCTTAGATCTATAGCTGTTTTTAGTTGTTCCCATCTTTTATGTCTTAATCAAAGGCAAGCCAACCCTCTTACTGAAATTTTCATCCCCTTTCTGGGAAATCTAAACCAGTCCTAGATTTTTTTCCTTTTTTCTTTCTCTTTCTTTTTTGAAAAGTCTCCTGCGTTTTAATAGGGCCTATGTTCCACAAACACACACTATCTGTCTTCAGCCTGCGTTCCAGGACCTGTCACCAACTGCGGCTTGTCAAGGTGAGATGACAATTTGAAGAGACAGGAAGGAGGGCAGAGTGTGAAACGGGACTAGAGAACTGCACGCAGCTTGATGGAGAGTGACAGGCAGGAGAACTCCCATTCTCACTCTGGGCAAATTTAGAGACATGGCTACATTCCCAAGCGGGGGCTCAGCTTCTGTAGCCCATCTATAATACCTGGAGCATTCATGGTAAACTTTGCGCCCGTCCCCCAGCCCTCTACGGAGTTACGGGATTCGCTGGTGGGCCCGGAGCCCAGGTGAACCCCCAGTGAGGGGAGAAGGCAGGAAAAGGAGCCAGGGCCGCCCAGGACACCCTCGGTGCCCGACACCCTGCCCCCCTCTCACACAAACATCCCCCGTACCTGACCCGCAGCCGGTGTCGGAGCTGGCCCACCCTCTGGTAGTAGTCGACGTTCGACTGGGACGCGGAAAATGGTTGCATGTTTCCGCTTCGGCCCACCATGCCCGCCCCACAGTCTAGGGGAAGCCGGTGGGCCAGAGTTGCCTAAGGAGACGGCCCCACCATGCACCGCGGGTAAACACAGCGCCCAGTCTCGGCTAAGAGGAGGAGCGCCGCCAAGGGGCGGGACAAGATGCCGTGATGGGCGGGGCGCCGCCGAGGGGCGGGTTAAGACGCCGTGGTGGGCGTGGTGCCGAGGGGGGCGGGACGCAATGCTATGGTGGGTGGGTCTCCGGGGAGGGGCGGGCGGAGATTTGCTGGCTGAGCGGACCGCCTACCAGCTGGCGGAGCAGCTACTCGCTAGTGGCTGAGCTAGTGGTCTTGAGAGCTAGGTGCCCTTTTTTCTGCTGCGTCTCCATCTTTCCGGATCTACACAGATTGCATTCAACTGATACCACGCAATCTATCGCTTCTTTCCCTTTTGCCCCCTCCCCTCTTTTCATCTCTGGATTTGAGGCTTCGTGGTAAGCTTGATTTCGTATCAGCATTTAAAAGCAAAACAGAACACTGCAGAAGGAGGATGGGGGGGGCGGGAAGGAAGAGGATGGGGGAGGAGGAGGAGGGAGAGGGGGAAGTGGAGAGGGGAGGAGGAGGGAGGGGGAGGAGGAGGGAAAATTAACAAAAAGAGAAAAGAAAAGAACCCCAAGTTCTAAACAACTGCAGTGGAGCAACTCTACTGCAAAATCCATGCAGACCTGGAAGGTGTGTTTAATGCATGCTCCAGTACCATCACTCTGTGGTGGGGAGGGCAAGGTTCTTAACTTTGCTTGAGAAGCAGATGTTTATATAGGCAGACCTAGCTGCAATGATTCCATAGGATCCTCCAAAATAGGCCTCTAGAGCCAGATTACCTTGACCCAAATCTGCTCTTCCACTCTCTTTCTGTGGAACATGAACAATTCACCCTCTGGGAAAAGCTGCTGAATTTCCAGATATGTAAAATAGGGAGGTGGTTAAAGCAGGATTAATTTGGCATTGGATTAGTTGACACATATTGCTAGTTTATATATATAAAAAAAACCTAGCACACAATAAACATGAGTTATTGTTGTTTAATTATTGTCATCATCAAAGTGGTAAAAATATACCCACAGGGCAGTGGAAAAAAGTTTCTTTAGTTGGTTATTCTTATTTGTGCATACGTGCATGTGAGTGTGTGCTCATACTGGGTCTTAAGCTCAGAGCCTGGGCACTGTCCCTGAACCTTTTTTTATACTCAAGACTAGCTATTGTCCACTTGAGCCACACTTCCACCTTCAGCTTTTTTGCTGGTTAATCGAAGATAAGTCTCATGGACTTTTGACCTGGAATAGCTTTGAACCACAATCATGAATAGCTAGGATACATGAACTACTGGCTTTATTCTTCACTTCTTTTGGTTTCTGTCCTTGGGCATTTTTACTAAGGTGCAAAGTGTGACTTGAGCTAATAAATTGACCAATAAAAAAAGCAACACTATGTAATTAACAGTATAAAAAAATCACTCTATATAATATAAAATTACATTTTATATTATATAAAATTATGAATGACTTGGCCTTTCTTTCACACCATGTCTAAGGTATGAGTACCTCATATCATATCACCTGCAAAAGTTGTAAACCAAGATATCAAGCTGTAAGTAAGATAGATTGTCTCCTCTTCTTTGACCAATATACCTTAACATGAGCCGGAAATTCAGGGTGTAATTTAGTTTTCAGACTCCTTTCCTAGTCCACCCCCACTAAATTCCCACCTCAGGTTCAATCTTGCATCATGAAGGGTACCTTATAAATAAGTGACATTTGTTGGCTGACAGTTTTGGAGACTAAAACTTCACGATCAAGTATCACTACTGGTTTAGCCTCTGAAAAGGGCTTTATGATAGATGGTCTTAGAATAGTTAGGGCCTGTGAGAGGGATCATATAGTGAGACAGGAAGCCAGAGAGAGAATCAGGGGTCAGGCTTATACTTGTATTTGTTCAAGGAATAAATCACAGACCCACACTAAACCTATGTTAATCTCATCCAAGGAGAGCACATGTAATGGTGCAATTACATTGCACCATGTCTCAAATTTTAATGAGTCCCGTCACTTCAACACTGCCACACTGAAGTGCAAGCTTCCAAGACATAAACTTTCAGGAGGCACATAGCAATCATACCCAAACTGTAGCATCTCTGAAAGCCATGGGCATCATTGATTCAAAGACTTAGGAGAAAAGATTGATACCCACACTCTCATGAGCCATTTTCCCCAAATAAATCTCCCTAGCATATTCACTATTATATTCTGGTAAAGTCTGATTAATATAGGCAAGCATAAGCTTACTAAGTGTATTTTGCTAAACAAAACTTGTAATAGATAATTTAAGACACCAAGAAGTAGGTGAAAATTCTAGTAAATAAAAAAAAATTATACAAGTGGCCCTGCTTTCAATCCTCAGCTCTAATAATAATAACAAAATTTTCCTCATTTTACTTCAAATTATATAAGCCAAAAATTAATATTTTTTCTAAAGTAGCTGAATTTTATGAAAGCTAAATAATAGCCACAATGTAGAATAATAGGGCAACAGTAGAGAAATAGAATAAAAGGATACTGCCTTAGCTAGTGGCAATGGTTACATGAAATAGACTCACCATATCACATATCCCTTATATGCCTATGATTTTCACGAAGGTCCTAGAATTTGTGTTTTCATAAACACAAATTTGTGTTTTCATAAAGTCTCAGGATTATACCTCTGTAGACAAAGAGAAATCTTCACGGGGGACAGAGTTGAGAAGCACCAAATCCTTGTACCCTTTCCTCCTGCAGGAATAGATCATAACTGGCTGGCCCCAAGTAGGGCCAGCTCTGCATTCCTGCATTCCTGGGTACATGAGTGGCAGGCTGTAGGTGCTGACATCACACGTGAAGAATCTTTCAATGCTAAGACTCTCCTCAAAAATCATTTGGTGGATTTCATAATTGTTTGCCACTTGGATACACTTCATCAGGGTTCAACAAGTACTCCTAACCACAAGGGTTAGAAACAAAGGGACACTCTAGGATTCTCTTATGATGATGCACTCACAGGCAGGTTAAAACTAAAGAGTTTTGCATAATAAATGTTATTTAATTTGACAGCTATGTGTTTATGTTTTGAAGGTGGTGTGTGTGTGTGCTCGCACGCTCGCGTGCAGGCGCATGCACCCACACCTAGAGAAATGTTGACTTCACTCATTCCTAGGACACATCAATGGTGAAGCCACATGGAATATCCTTCCTACTTCACAAGCACTTACCGTCATGTCCTTGAGAAGTGGTTGAATACAGGGGTTGAGAATTTTGACTCAGGCGCTTCATGTATCTGGTATACTGCTATACCTCCTCTTGTAAGCTGTGTTACCTTGGACGGACAGATTACTTATCCTTTCTGTGCCTCAAATTCTTCTTCCCTTGTAAAATGGTAATGGCAACAGTGCCTTCCTCTTAGGGTTGTTGAGAGGATTAAATGTGATGAACTGCGTGACGCTCTTGGAATCATGCCTGCTGGTGTTAGCTCTCAATCAACGCCAACTAGCATTATTTCTTCAAGAGGCAAGAGGAATATCCCTTTGGGAGGTAGAGAGAGTAGTGTGTGGGCTGTGCCTCTCTTACCACATCATCCTATATTATTCAATGGTCTAGTTTCTTTTTTCTGTTGGCTGGCTTCCAAGAGTTCACATGTATTTCTTTATTTTTTTTAAATTTTTGCAATACATCAGGCAAAATGCAATTGTGAAGAAGATAAACTGTAAAAACAAAAAAAGTCCCTTTCATCCCTGCCTCTAGTTTCCTTTCTCACCTTTTCCATGTGGGATTCCTAGATTATTTTAAGTACGTATCTATGTCTGTGTCTACATATATATTCATATATGTATAGTTTTCTAGATCTATTAGTTAACCTTAAATATGTATATATGCCACTATTTTTTACATACTGTTCTGCATCCTGTGTGCTTGCTTAAAATGTCTTTAAGAGCTTTCTTTGTCAGTATTCAAAGAGCTATAGATCAACCTCAATGTGTGTGTGTGTGTGTGTGTGTGTGTGTGTGTGTGTGTGTGTGTGTGTGTGTGTGTGTGTGTGTGTGTGTGTTGGTCCTGGGGCTTGAATTTAGAGCCTAGATCCTGTCCCTGAATTTTTGTGCTCAAGGCTAGGTCTCTATCACAGTTCTACTTCTGGCCTTTTGGTGATTAGAGATGATGAGTCTCACAGACTTTCCTCCCCAGGCTGGCTTTGAACCACATTCCTCAGATCTCAGCCTCCTCAGTAACTAGGATTACAGGCATGAGTCACTGGTGATTCTAACTTTTTGTGTGCCTTCTAAAACTTGCACCATTAATAAGACTTACAAATATACTCTACTGTGAAGGACCCTCCCTCCTGTTTCCATGGAATATTTTAATACCCTGTACCACTATTAGTCCATTTTCTCTCTTCAAGACAATCTCCTTTATGGGCTTCAGTGGCCAGCACCAAATATCCCACTTCAAATATCAGTGATTTATGTTGTTGCTTATAGATACTTACAATGACACCTGTTATGCCTAATACAATTGGGGCTGCATTGTTAATGTTGATTACAGACTTCTGAATATTGTGTTACCAGTGTTTCAAATATATTATCCCATATCTGGTTAAGGCTAAAGGACACAGTCTAGAGTCAGAAGACTTAGGTTTATATTCTAGCTCTGCTATTAACTAGTGTGATCATGTGACAAATAATCTGTCTTTGTTTTAATTCTCAAACTCCAATCCCAAGACAAGGTTTTTGGATATTTCTGATTTATTTAGGAAGTGGTTGAGAGAGAAGGGATGTGGGATGAGATGGAAGGTAGAAGATATCAGAGCTTTAGTGAGCAGATTACCTCTGTGGGCAGCTGTGGCCCAATTCAGCTGGGGATCTCTAAATGACCATGTAGGATGAAACAGAATCATCACCTTGACTAAGGGATGAGAAAACAGCTCCATGCCTCCTGTTTTGGTGCTGGATATTGAATTCAGGGCCTTATGCATACTAAGCATTTCTTTACCATTAAATTATACCCCTACTCATGAGAAAGTAGACTTTTTAA